GCTTCAAAACATTCAAGAGAGGTTAAAGTACCTTGCTTGTTTCTTATGTTGTTGTTCAAGATGAGTAATGAGATAAGATATAAATATTCTGCTCACTGAGCCAGGTTTGTGTTCTTTGTGCCCAAAACACAGCTTGTGTTCTCCTTACAGCAAGAAGGATATCGTTCTGTTCAAGGCAGTAGTTCGCTAAATTAGGGGAAAGTTCCCCCACAGTTTCCTGTTTTTCCTTCCAGTTCACTCTGATGGCAAGTGTTCAGCTTATAGAAGAAAACTTCCTGTATGTACAAGGAAGAGATGAGCTCCTTTACCACCCCGTCTAATGACAAAAGTCTCCTGTCTTAACTGCTCAGAGGACAGTAAAGCTTTTCTTAGTTAATCTGAAACTGTTCTTGTTTCTTATATCTGTTTTATCCTCCCAGCGCTGAAGTGATCCCAACGGAGGTGTTGAGGCAGCGTGAAGCGAAATGGCTGGAGATGCTGAACAGCTGGGACAAGTGGATGGCCAAAAAACACAAAAAAGTGCTGCCTAAACCAATCCACAGATAAAATACTATATTATTAAAAGTGTGAAAATATATAATCATGTCCTCGCTGTCGTCAGGATTTAAGTGAGTGTCATTAAAGGTTTGAGTCATGCAGACTGACCAACAACATGTTTGTTAACTAACAGGTGAAAGAGCGCTGTCAGAAAGGAATTCCTCCATCCCTGCGGGGCCGGGCCTGGCTCTACCTCACTGGCGGCAAAGTGAAGAGGGAGCAGAACCGTGGCAAGTTTGAGGTGCGCTGCAGACTTCTGGTTCCTGTTCAGATCCAAACGTGTTATATTTATTATTCAGCTGCATTGTGCACATCGTGATAAAGCAGAAAAATGCACAACATTTAGTTTGATGTCTCCGTTTTACAGTCTGGATAGGTTGGTACCTAAATAATCATTTAATGATGATTTAGCTGAAATATTTTGGAGGATTTGAATTACAGTTGCATTTAAGCAGTGGTGGGCAGCACTAATCTAAATATTAGTTGCACTAACTCTAAAGTACTAACTCAAATATTTAGGTCCCCTAATTCTAAAGCACTAACACTCTGAAAAATTTAGCAAAAGCTAATTCTAAAGCACTAATATAATCCAGTTGACACATCAGGGTTCCCGCGGATCCTTAAAAAGTCATTGAATTCACCAATTCAAAAATAAGGCCTTAATTAGTCTTAAAATGTCTTAAACCAATCTTTCTGAGGTCTTTAAAATATTAACACATTGTAGGATCATTGTAATTTGTATAAAATATTAAAATAGTGACATTTTTTTAATAATTTACCAAAATCTTCTCGCAGTTTGTCGTTCCGTTAAACATTTAGGTAAAATTATCGCCAACTGTTTTTTCCCCATTTGTGTTTATTGCGAATTTGTTCTTAAATTTAATTTCAAGTGGCATTAAAAAAGTCTTAAAAAGTCTTAAATTTAACTTGCATTAAGCTGTAGGAACCCTGCGCGTGGAACATTCTTCAGAGTCAACATAATCTTATTTACTGTGTGCAGAATGTTGTCACTTAGTGACCTTGCTGGGCCAAATGGGAGTCACCCACATGCCTTGGGTTTGACACGTGACCTTGTAGATAAGTGACACACATATGAACACAATGTGTGACAGTTTTCATCCTCAACTGTGAACAATAACATTGATCAGTAACGTTTAAAGACCTCAGTTAGTGCTTTTATGTTTAGCCCATAAATTAAACAAGTGCTAATCACTAATGAATTTAAAAAAAATAGCTAAAGCCCTAAAGCACTAATCAGTGTTTACTATTAGTGTTTTAGTGCTTTAGGGGAACTGTGCCCACCACTGCATGAATATAAAAATGGTCACAAATGTAATCTATAATCTATAAATTGTGGTTTCAGGAGTTAGACAAGCAGCCAGGAGATCCCAACTGGGTTGACATCATTGAGAGGGACCTTCATCGACAGTTTCCTTTCCATGAAATGTTTGCAGCGAGAGGAGGTCACGGGTGAGCGATTTCTTTGAAAGGCAGTTAAGATTCTTCTATTCATCTTTACGGGCTGAGTATGGTTTTAAAAGGCAGTATAATTCACATTTCGACATGCAGGCAGCAGGATCTGTTCCGTGTGCTGAAGGCTTACACTCTGCATCGACCTGAAGAAGGTTATTGTCAGGCTCAGGCTCCCATCGCTGCTGTACTCCTCATGCATATGCCAGCCGAGGTGAGGAGCTTTTGTTTCCTGTCGCCATTGATCTTTATAAAAAAAGAAAATCTTTAACGCCAGGATTTACTTTCATTAACGTGTTCGTTTGGTTTTATCCAAGGATGCTTTCTGGGTTCTTGTCCAGATCTGTGAAAAATACCTTCCTGGATACTACAGCACAGGGCTGGTATGTCATAAAAATACATCAGCGTGACTTGTCTAATATATCAAATATTCATGCTCTAAAGCTAACCCCGCCTCTTCGGTTTAAATGTTTTAAAAGTGCATTTAGTTCGTGAGCGAAACAGAGTTCAGGGTTAAAACATCTCTGTTATTCGGCTGTGTGGTATGTGTCACAAATGTTGGTGTCAGACTTGTCAGGCCAGTCTCATGCTTAGTGGTAAGCTAACAGCATTACAATGCTAGGTGTTGACAAAGCAACAAGGACACAATAATCAGATCAGGCAGAGTGAGAGGAGTCTGTTGTCTCCCTCTGCTGACGTTTGTTTCTGCAGGAGGCCATCCAGCTGGACGGGCAGATCCTGCACGCCCTGCTGCGGCGGGTGTCCCCTGTGGCCCACCGCCACCTAAAGAAACACAAACTGGAGCCCGTCCTGTACATGACTGAGTGGTTCATGTGCGCGTTCTCCCGGACTCTGCCGTGGGCCTCGGTGCTGCGAGTCTGGGATATGTTCCTCTGTGAGGGTGAGCAGCCAAGATTCACTTGTATATGATGCTTTGGTTAAACTAAAACAAATTTATTTAGAGCATTTTACAGCACATTTGACAGATTAATTTATTTTAGTTGGCCATCAGTTGAAGTTAAAATAACTTTGAGTAAATAGGAAGTGTGACCAATGAACATTGTGTAGGTGCACAACCTGTAAACATTTCCCTGTGTTTAGATGAAGCAGGTCAGAGAAGAGCTGCGACAGACTTGTGACCAAACAAAAAAGATACTGACTGAGGTTTAACATGACTATTAATCCTCTTTTAACTTCTAATAATTTGTTTGAAATGCTTAAAAATGTGTAGCTTATTAAAGGGCACATATTGTGCAAAATTCACTTTTTTTAGCTGTTAAATACATTTTATTGTGGACTTGGAGTCTCTATGAGTGCAGAAAATTAGAATTTAGTCTCACCTGGTGCTGTGAATATATCTTTATTCTGTTTGGGTCATTTTTTTCAACCTGGTCAGTTTTCTCTGTTTTCTATGATGTCATTGTTTATGTGACAGAACTGCCAAATAAGGTCTAGATTTACAGACTACAATTACGTTGTCTTCATCTTCCTCTGGTTCTGGGTCAGACTCTGGCTCCAACATGTAAGGATGGATGGACAAGTCTTCTGTTGTTCACATCTTTTAATTAATTTGTAAACAAAAAGATTCTGCACCGTTAGAAATTCATAAACCCCTCAATCAAACTGGAATGAACCGCTCTGGAAGCTGGGGTGAGGCGGGGTGTGAAGAGTCTTGTTTGGATTTAAAGAGACAGCCTCAAAATGAGTTGATCTGAGACAGACCTCAGAAAAGGGGGAAAGAGGGGCTTGTGGAGTTACAATAAGGAGGAATTCATACCAAAGCATTGCAGTTCCACTTTATATAGACCCCAACTGAATAATATGAATGTGAAAAAGAAGGATTTAAAAGCAGGATATCCATCCATCCATCCATTTTCTGTACACGCTTCTTCCTTTTCAGGGTCGCGTGGGTCACTGGTGCCCATATCCAGCTGCTGGAAAGCAGGATATGTCTACTTTAAAAAATGTTGAACAAAAAAAACAACAAAACTGTTTTAATCATAAGGTGGAAATGAATAATTAAACTGAGTTTTTTTGCAACAAAACGTCTTTATCTTAAATTTGCACCTAAAAATAAAAACTTTGATTATGGTGTTTATATTCACTTTTGTTTTTGGCCTTATTGTGTCAGCATGTTTTTGTGTGATAGAACAACAACGGTGTTAATTATTGACATAAAACCAGTTCTAATAGAAAATGTATTGCTTGTTTTTTATGACAAGCCATTTAAATTGACATACAATAAAAGTAGAGGTCTACAAAGATAAACTTTAACAAATGAAATGATGTAAAGAAAGTTTTCTTGCTTAGTTTTCAACATGCTTAGACACAGAAATCACTGCAGATTTAATAATAAATCATTCTTTCTTTTGTCCATTTTTCAGCATTATTCCACAAATTTTATGCTATTTTAACGATTTACATATTAAAACATTCATCTCCTTCAGGGCATTCTGACTATGACTTCTGGTATTTCAGACATATAGCTGTTATGGCCATGGTTTTTTTCATTGAAAATAAATGGAACTGTTTTCAATATCCTTAAAACCCTTTAAAATGTTCGTAAATCTTTACTGCACCTTTAACCTTTTGTTCTGGTTCTGCCTTTTTTTTTTTACTTATATGAACTCAAATATTTATTTTCTATTTCCTTCTATTTTGCTAATTTTAGCTTTTTTGGCTATCGTTTTGAACTTTCCGCTATTCTGCTAACTTAAATTTTTTTTCAGCTGTTTTCTGCTATTTTATGTTCTCTGTGGTTTTAGCTACATTTTTGCTTATTTGAGCTTTTTTCCTGCTAAGTTCACTACTTTCTTTTACCTAATTTTATTCTGTTCCAGCTTCATTTTTTATTTATTTTTTTGGTATTCAGCAAAAATCTTTCCCAGTGCGTTATTGCAGGAAATGCTAATTCTCTAGTTGAAATATGTTATTAAAAATACATAACTAACATAACAGTTACCAAAGATTATTGCATCATGTCAAGCTTCTTCTCACATAAGCTGCATGTTATTTTTATTATTATTTTTTTTTAATGTGGTGCCGTTCTCAGGAGTGAAGATCCTCTTCAGAGTGGGCCTGGTCCTCCTGAAATGCATGTTGGGAACTCAAGAGAAACTGAAGTCCTGCCAAGGTCTTTATGAGACGATGGAGCTGCTCAAAGCCATCCAGCCACAGTACACGCATGAAGCCTTTCTGGTCCGTGAGGTACGGTTCTGCTATCAGTTTTATTGCTTTGACCCTGCACTGAGTGCACGCCCACCCACCTGTTTTCCTGCATCCAGAATTCCTTCTAAAACGGCAGTAAAACAACGTGAACTCGCATGTCGGTCATGCTCTCGGTCTCGTGTTTCAGATTATAGAGTTACCAGTGTCAGAGAAGGACATTGAGAAGGAGCACCAAGCTCAGCTGCGGCGCTGGAAGGAGACTCATGGAGATCTCTGCAGTAAGTCCCCTCCGAGGATGCACGGCGCTAAGGCCATCATAGCCGCTGAGCCACCCAGCCGGCAGGAGCTGTGGCAGAGACCTACCATCATCGTGGAGTCCCCGCTAGACAAACCCACGGGCAGCAGACACGCTAAAAAGGAAAATGGACACACGGCAGTCCTCCCTCCTGTTGAGGTGGTCAACCCTTACGCTCCCTCCAGTAACCCGTCCCCACTGCTCAAACACATGATAGTAGAGGGGTCCAAAGAGAGTCTGACCAGCTCCGAACACGACACGTATCTGTAGCAGCGCAAAGTGCACACCAGTTTACAAACAAGCATTCCATACGGCTCTATTTCAGCAGCAACACTCAACAGTTGTGAACATAAATGTATCCAAAAGTCTGTGAAGCTGAAGGCGTAACCTTTCATCCTGCCTAGGTGCTGAAGTAGATCTAAACCCTGCTTCCTGCAGCCTTCATTGCAATCATTACACTTATGTTGGGGGGATTTATTTTTGTTTTGTTTTAAAGTGTAGTTTTATGGAACATCACAAACACTTCAGTGGCTGTGTTTACATGTGCAGCTATATTCTAATATTAACTCAGTTTGCACCTTATTCTGAACAAAACCACAGTTTTAACTTTTACTGATCATCTCAATCTGAATAAACTCACATTTAGGGTATGAAATAACCAAATGAGGCTTCTGTAGATGGACACACGCCTTGATTTGCACTATTACATCCTGCTGACTTTTTATGGCATTTTGCAACACGTGCTGCAGATTTGCGTCAGTGCAGACAGATTTACATGAGACGAAGCGCTTATGGAGCGAGGAAAGAATTTGAGTAAAGATTTGCCTCTTGGAATAAGTTGGAAGAAGAGCTCAAACACTGCAGTGACGCAGAGGGATTTCATGTAGTCGTGATGTTGTGACATGGATGCAGGAATATGAAGGGATTTTCCAATTTGTGGCTTTACCATCTATTAACCTAAAAGCAAAGTTAATAATCAGAATATTGTGCATGCAAGCATAGCCTCTGAGGATTTACTTCTATTAATTTGAAGCCAATGGTTTCATAGGACCAACCGTTCAGAGATATCTACTTATTATTGCTTATTTTTTGCTGCTATTCTTATAGATGGTGCCAAATTACTTTAGAGCTTCATAATTTCTGTTGAGCTGCTCTAATTGTCCGTTTTCCCCACATTAGTCACTACATTGCCAACTACATTTGCTAGTTTCATTCCCACCGATGCACAGAAGAGCGTCGGATCAGTCGTGTCATTTTTCTGTCCTCACTCTGCGTCAACACATGGGGGCGTCCTGACATTACACAACAGCCTCAGCAGAGAGCAGCAGTAAGAATGAAGCTGTGTGACAATCAAATGAAGGAGCATTTTATGCCAAAAAACCAAAGATTTATAATCCATTGTTTTTATAGTATATCTAAGTAATATCGTATTTTTAAATATTTTTGTATGGGTAGAAGAGTTTATATTTATGTTGAGAATGAAAGGAGAGAAATTCAGAATATATATTTTTAGTTGAAAATGCAAGGATTTTGGTTTCTTTGAAAAAAAAATATTGAAATTGGATTTTAAAAAATGGAATGAAATCAGCTTTTAAACCATTTTAAATCTACTGTATGTTTGAGCAAGAAATTAACGTGACGTTTTTAAAAGCAGGATTGGAAAACGTAAAAGAAAATGAAAATCAGAAGAGACACAAACCTGTAAAAAAAATAATGAATAACTTTTTTAAAAAAATCATTTTGTGTAAATGAAATCATCGTCAACATTTATTACTCCAGAAGGTTGTTCATTTGTCATTATTTGTGATGTAACCAGATTATTCAAATTATTGTTTTGCTCAGTGATTGTATGTCAGAAATGTTGTTATGGAAAGAACGAGGGTTTGTGTTGGTTATAAAAGTGTAAACTTTTAAAGTAAAAGTTGTGGATTTTTTTTTCTCTTACTCTGATATATTCATTTTTTATTGAGGTATCCTGCATGTTTTAGAGGTTTCTCTGCTCCAACACGCTTGATTTGAATGAATGGATGATAAACAGGCTTCTGCAGAACTTGAAGAGGTAATTTCATTACTGAATCAGGAGTGTTGGAGCAGAGTAACAAGTTAAAAATGCGTGAAAGTGGCCCAAGAGGTTTAGGATTCATATCAATGCAGTTTACATCGTCACTGCTAGATGTCACCAAATCTCACAGATTTAAAGAACAGATTTATCCAGTTGGGCTCCTACATTTGCAACAATTTTCAGAGACTTTGCATCTACACGATGCCTGCTTTTTAACCAAGTTGCTTTTGAGACAACAAACCTTTTGGATTGATTCTGTTTCAAATTTGTACGACGACACGTTCTCTGTCTGTTCAAAAGTTTTTGTGACAAAGTTGAAATAAGGTGCAGTGCAGATGAGAATGAACAGGCAGCGTTTGAATCAACCCTGTGTTGTCAGTCAGCGCCCTCCCTCCCTCCGTCGTGCTGCAGCACACTTCCTTGGACACCTGTTTCTCCAGCTCTTTCAGCTCTTGGAGGAATTTGCATCTCAAATAGGATAAATTCCCACAGCGCCGCCTCAAGCCCCTCACGCAGCCATCAGCCTTTGGTCTCTGAATGGAGACCTCTGCGCACAAAACAGGCTGCCTTTTTCTGCCCCCGCCCCCCAAGCAAGATTCAGTTGCGCTCCGAACCCAAGGCTGACGAAAACCTTCATTAATTTTTAGGTAAACCCATCAGGGACATTCCAGCGTGTATTACTCCAGTCACTTAAATTGCTATGGTCTTTTTTACGTCTCCGTTTTGATTTGTGACTAAAGGAGAGGATTTTAATTTAACAACACCCAACAGAACAGGCTTCAAGTCTTTATTGTTGCTTGTTTTCTATTCCTGTGAAGAGAAGAATGTCTTCTCAGAGGATGCTCTATCATCATCATCTCTCTTGTGTCTTTCACTGTCTTTAAACAATGCAACCTTCCCCAACCAATCCTGCCGCCCAACCTGTCTTACTCTCCTAGTGTTCGGTGACGCTGGCTAAACCCTAAGACCCAAGGGTGGGTTTTAATGGGAGACTGTCTTTATGGCTAATCTGCACAGAGAGGGGAGGAGATGTGACCCAGACGTGCCCTTGGAACCGCATTCAGAGCTGAGCTGAGAAAACATGTTGCAGAAGCAGACTCGTGTACAAGACTGCCCTTAAATCCTTCCTACAAGAGCCTTTACCTCACGTGTGAACACAAATTTTAGATTTTCTGCTCATATGCTAATAGATGAACAGTATCAGTGGTGGAGCGCTACTCACTCTTCACCATAGGAGCAACTCGAACAAACGTTCATGTATTCACCATTATGGGGTGTAGCTGTTTCCATTCTTCAGGCTGAACTGTCTGCGCTCATACGTGTGCCGCTGAAATACAAAATCTCAGCGCCGGCATGGATCCTGGCGTGGAAACTACAGGGATTCAATAAGGACTTGCTGTGCTTGTGTAAACATGCTTTTACCAGAGATTGTTCTTGTGTAACTTAAGCGTTAAGCCTGATACCCAGTCATTTTTACTTTAACACCTTAAAGTGACTTATTTTCCTCAAAGCCCCCCTTACTTTCCTCCAAGCCAAGCTAAACCCCTGGTTGACGCGTTCAACCTTTTATCTTTTTATCAAAATAATAAAAGATCAAAGTGAATAGTTACAAATTTTTATTTGGAACTGAGTTATACAGTGTTTAACTTGTACAAATAAACTTGTTTTAGTGATTTTTTTTTTAAATATACAAACAAATTGATATTTTCATAACATCTAAACAGACCTTGTGAAGGGCCCCCCTGTGCTCTTTGGTAAAATGATAAATGGACTGAACTTAAGTAGCGTTTTATCAAGTCCCGTCGAACTCCAAAGTGCTTCACACTACAAACATCCACACACTGATGGTGGTAAGCTACATTGTAGCCACAGCTGCCCTGGGGCACACTGACAAAGGCGAGGCTGCCATCAGGCAAGGTGGATGAAGGGTTTTGCCCAAAAACTCAACGACTGAGATGGCTGGAACGAGGGATGAAATTGGCAACCCACCTGTTAGAGGGCAACTCCCCTAACCACTACACCACAGCCACCCTATTGCTGCCCCCCTCAGTTGGGAACCACTAATATAATTAACTAAAGCATCTCTTTTGTGAACCTTGGCACACCAAGACCCAAAGGCCCAACGTACTTGATCCAAAGCATAACAGTCTCCTGGTTACGTGTTGGCCAGTTTCTAATATTCACTCACATCTTTTATAGCCCATGAGACACACGGCACAGAGAAACCCCCCTCACTGCTGCTGTACACGTCACAGCACTGGGTTTATTCCCGCTTGAAGACTCCTCCCTGATATCCAACGTTTGGCCACAAATTTCTGACTATAGCGCCACAGCTTTCTGCAGACAGCTTCACCAGAGTACGATGTGCTCTCTCCATCCAGGAGTTTTTGGCCAATTGAATTTCTTGAGTTTTCAGGAAGAGTCATACACGGGTTAGACAATGAAACTGAAACACCTGTCCTTTTAGTGTGGGAAGTTTCATGGCTAAATTGGACCATCCTGGTGGACAATCTTCATTAATTGCACATTGCACCAGTAAGAGCAGCGTGTGAAGGGTCAATTAGCAGGGTAAGAGCACAGTTTGGCTCAAAATATTGCAAAGCACACAACATTATGGGTGACATACCAGAGTTCAAAAGAGGACAAACTGGTGGTGCACGTCTTTCTGGTGCATCTGTGACCAAGACAGCAAGTCTTTGTGATGCATCAAGAGCCATGATATCCAGGGTAATGTCAGCATACCACCAAGAAGGACCAACCACATCCAACAGGATTAACTGTGGACGCAAGAGGAAGCTGTCTGAAAGGGATGTTTTGGTCTAAAACCAGGTGTTTCAGTTTCATTGTCTAACCGCTGTAGATGGACTGACTGCCAACAAAAGGATGCAATTTTAGTCGGCCAAGTGCAACAATAATAGCTGATTTTGCAGCTTTGGTTGGAGTATATGGGCCTTAATGACTCTCCACTGTGAGGGGTGCGAGTTCAATCTGCATGAGACTCTAGGCTCAGCTTGAAAAGCTTGCAGCTCCACGCTTAAGTTTTATTTAGAAAGCTCCACGGAAAGGAAGCAAAAGGTCAACTACAGAATAAAAATCTATTTAGTTTTTTTTTTCCATGGCCTGGATGAATGTACAACAGCGTGATAACTTCTTGTTCCATCTGAAAATAGTGTTGTATTAATTTCACACATAAACAAGGAGCTATGTTTGAGTCAACACATTGCTCCCAGCAAACCTATGATGTTTCTAAATTAGATTCAAGATGACCACTTGGATAAACGTTTAGACTCAGCAGACACACGTAGGCACATAAAAATAGAAGCATTTTCATTTTTAATCTAATCACGAAGAGGTTTTGATTAAAACCAAATTACAAATGTGAAAAAAATATTTGGCTGCAATGTGGCAAGAGATGCGGAATGACCAAAAAGTGGGTAAAATGCATGTGAAAATGTGCAAAACAAGAAATGTGACAAAATTGGATGTGAAAAAGTATGTGACTAAATAAGTGTCATAAAGCACAAGTGACTAAATGAATTTTTGCCACTAAACCTTAAAAAAAGACGTTTTGTTTTTAATTTTATATCTGCAGCTCAGGCATGAAGAGTAACGTGTTTGTAAGCAGATATCTGACACGTGATGTCTGTTTATGCACTGAAGCTGTTTTGGGGGTCGGGGTGAGTACAGTAAAGTGGATGATCTCATGAAGCCATATGTGTGAAGCGTCTGGGAGATTATAGTCTGCAGTTAAAGCTCCTTCGAAGCTTTTTGTTAACGAGGACTGAGGGTCCACAGCTTTACCCCTCCATCTGCCATTCCCCCCCATCGGGCTCCCAGTCCAGTGGGCCGATTAGAGGGTGCAAAGGTCAGAGGCTTGAAACCCGAAACTCAAGGATAAGTAAACTTTGTTTAACTTCTCAGAACTAGGGTTACAGAAGGACAAAGCGCATGCGACGTTGTTGACATTTAGGGAAAATAAAGCAGAGACTCGGTTGTTTTGTAGGCGAGTGGGACGGATAAGAACTCAGCGGATTCTTCAGGAAAGCGGCTTCACAAAGAAGTGGCTCTGTCGTGAGCAAAGGGTCATTTAAAGAAATAAAGGAAGCGTGCTGTATATGGACACAGTGTGAGTGAGGCCTTGTGGACGTTCCTGTTTGTGACCTTCCCACATTTTGGGGGCAGAAGAGGCGATGAAAAGTTTTAAGTAGCCGAGCTGCACGTGTGGGACAGGAAGCCGCGGTGGAAGGCGTCAAAGGTCAGACAGATGCTTGCTGTGTGGACAGTGGACAGGAAGTGGGTCCCATCCTTTTATGGCTCTTCTCTGGTGAACGGTAGCTCGCGGGCCCAGTGATCTCAGATCCGTCAGCTTGTTGGACGCTCAGTTATAAATTGTTGTAGGAAATGATGGGGAACGCTTGTTGGGGATCTCCCCCTGATCTCCTTTGTAAGAACTTCCCAGAGGCCTCGGGAGTCACGCCAAATTGTTGCCTGAGCTGCCTGTGAGGGTATAATACTGTACAAACAAAATGTTACTTTTACATTTTTTAAGAGCTGAAAGTTGCCATCTTCAAATCAGCTTCTACTTGTTTCCAAGGGACATCAGTGATTTTACATTATTTTTTTCAAACTTTGGCTTGGAAATCAAGCCACAGCTGTTATGAGCCCCGCTTTGCATGGCCGGGGTCATATCGTTTTCATACTGTTTATTTTATTATAACCCCTGCTACACGAAGCGGGGGTCATACTGTTCATTTATTTATTTTATTCAGAGATTTTTGTTCAACCACAGCACAGAAACAGCTGCACCAAACAGCATGAAGTTTGGTAGGAATATAGATGTCGCCAACCTGCACTGCGCTAGCAAACGATTTT